GCAGGACGCAAGCAGGAATCCTCTTATCTATGATATATCCCGGCTTGCACACACAAGGACCTCCACAAATCAAAAGACAATTTGCCTTGCCCTTGTATTGACAAGTTTCTGGGCAGGCTGTGGGGCAGTGTTTCTGAGTTCCATTTATGGTACAATCGATTTTATCAACGTAGCAGTTTACCTCTAGGAACAATATAAGACCCGCAAGGAAAAATAATAAACGCTTCCACATAATATTAAAAACACTTTGCCTTGCTAATAAATTATATTCTGCAGAAATACTTCAATTTATAAAGTTAACCAAATTAAACCATATCTAATGTAATGAAACAAATGTAATTAGTGAACCTTAAGAAAGTTTAGTTTCACTGATTGTACAGTTATACACTTTATACTAACCACATTGAATAGGTGTACAGTTTTTAGTGCTTTCCAAGCTTTGTCTTATTTTATTTACTTCGGTTTAAACAGTTGTATTCAAATCCTATTTAAATATAGCTCATACATTTTATAACATTAGTAGTAAAAATAACACTGGCTTACACCAAAAATTTGATAATTGAAGATACGCTTTTATAATAGACTTAAGATTTAATATGATTTGTTTAAGTAAGGGTAAATAATATTTTGATTGTACATTTGGTTTTGGAATACAGTGTTATAAATGCTCAAAAACTATGCTACAAAATAAATTTATATATATTTGTCAATTTAAATTCTCTAGCAAAATACGAGCTTTTTTTAATTTATACGTTCTGTAAGTTAATTTCCGTATAAAAAAATTAGTACAAAAATCACAACGTTTTGGAATAGAATTTTCTTAACAACAGCTAAATAGTTAAACTTTTTTTGAAAAATATATAAAGAAAGGCAGAGGTTTTATCTAATATAAATCTTGGACGGTACTATTTGCCACAAGAGCACAAATTGAGAATCGATATATTTATTTTTGATGGGCTTTTGATTTTTATCAATATTTTTTATAGATGGAAAAAATAATTTTCAAGTCATGTTTTCAAGAAACGTTGTTCTCTTTGATATAATTGATATCCTAAATTGATAAAATATAATAAATGATGATGGACGTTGTCTATATAACAGAGTTTGTAAATGAGACTTATAAATGGGAAATTTGTTAGCAACCCTCGTTGAAAACTTTTATTTATTTCAATGCCTACCGAATGCGACAAATTTTTGTCGCTGAAAACTTTACCTCTGCTTTTCTTTAATAAAATTTCAGTCCGTCTTCTTGGCTCTGCACTCGTTTTGTGGCCACGTGACACGCACACACACACTGGCGCAGAAACCAACACAGATGTGGACACACAGACGCACACGAATGCAGACAAATATCTTGCAATGTTGGCGGCTGCAGACTGTCATTTGTTTACTTGTGTAAACTTTAATTAAATTCCAAAAAGACGACGACAGCAGCAGCTGGTGCAAGAGTTTTCCCACCCTTTTCCCCCATTAAAACCCCATTTCCCGCCCCAATGTGCTGCCACTGCACAATTTTAGGCCCACATTGCATTGCAATTCAGTCTGCCAATTGCCATAATTATGAGCTTTGGACTGACCAACTGCAACTTCACACGGGAAAAAAGTATTTCCATCCTAAAACCAAGTTTCAACTGAAAATCGAATAGATAACGCAAAAAAAAATATTGTTTGTAAACTCTGGGAAAATTAACTCAGAAAACTCTACAAAATAAGCGTTTAAATTATAAAAGACAAATTATTATTTGTCAATTAATTATGATTCTTTAACAGAAAATAGTACCAAAAATGTCTTGTATTTGATTAAACGCTATTGATATTGTAGCTTGAAGAAATTAATTCTTACTAAAAATAGTGACATTTTGAGCACCATTTTTGTTCTTTTTCTCAGTGCAGAAGCAGCCAGGGCTCTGAATTCACTATGAATATTTAGGGACTCCGAGTGCAGAAACCCAGCTATAAGGGTAACATCTGCCACTCCCGACAAACCTAGTCCAAAGTATTTTAACAATTGTCGATCGCAATGCATGCAAATTTTCAATTTCACTGAGAAAAATTCGATGCCGATTAAAAGTGATACGTCTCGATGGCATGGTTTGGTTTGTAAAAATTGTTTAAAATTAATTTACTAATACTAATTTGCTAATACTAAAAAACAAGGAAAGACATTTAAGTGGTTAGTTATATATCAAAATTTTCTTAATTTGTTTTGAAAATGTCATTGTGTAATATTCAAATACTTAATTGATCAAAATTATCTAGCTTGCGTTGTACGTTCCGATTGTGGGACAGATGTTGTTCAAATAATAGGCCCATTTTGTATATTTTCAGTGCTTTGGTTTTAGAAGAGAAATTTAAAACAATTGCTTTCATTGAAATTTTTTTTTAAGTGGGTCTCAAATGAAGTTTGGCTACAGTTAAATACAAATAATGAATATAAAATAATGTTAATATCCCCAAATTATATCTTTAAGTGCTTTAAAATGAAACCATGTATTGTCCAACAGTTATTTAAAATAACTTTTTTTTGGATAGGATACCAACTAAAATTAGGAAGTAAATTGAAAGATGTAGTTGTTTCAGAAAATGAATAAAATGACAGTTCTAGTTATTCAAGTCTTCTATATCCCTATTTACCATTAATTATTACAATGTGGAGCTTGGAGGTCTGCGATTTCCTGGGTATTATGATGTTCTTTACACCTATCGATTGTAAGATCGACTGCACCAAAAATGAAACCCTTGCAAAATATTGTTTTTCATATTAACCAAAAACCTGTGAATTCGATGGTCACGGACCATACCAAAAGATCTGCGGAGGTCCTTGTGACTGTAAGCCAGGATATGTAATTAATCAAAGGATTCCAGCCTGTGTCTGCGCTCTGATTGTCCAGCAGGTGTAGTTCAAAAGAGAGGTACAACATATGTTGGAAATTTGAAGTGCTTTGGTCGATCCATTTGTAATTAGGTAGAAAAATATCTGAAATAAATGCCTTTAGCCCGAGTAATTTATGATTTAATTTTTTAAGTTCAGGTCTCTGTTGTAGTTATTATAGAGGAGGCGATTTATTCTTGGATATTCACTCTTAGTGGTTTTCTACATCTGAATATTGTATTGTATATTGTATTTTGTGTTTCAAGGTTCGTTCTGCTTAAGATAATGCCAAACCGTTGGTACGTTCCCTAGCGAATCCAAGATAACACCAACAACAATTGCACAACATGGTAAGAAAATTCAATGGGATATGCATATCAAGTAGATACAAAAATAGGAAAAAGTTTATGAATATTGCTACAGATGAGTTTATAAATATTGTTACAGATTAATATAAAAATTGAGAACAAGGGAAGGTTTAAACTCTGTAAATATTACTTTTTGTTGTGTAGAGCTAATATTTAGTATCCAAAATATTTATAAAATATTTATATAGTCAAATTTGGAAAAGGGATAAAATACATTGCACGATTACAAAACCATGATCAACTAGTGTGCAAAATTTGTATAACACACTTACATATATTTCTGAATGTATTAAGATTTAAATAAAGCAACTACTAAAAGTACGGGACTTCTGTGAAACAAGTCAAGTTTTTCCATTTCTTTCAATATTTATCAACCCTTCAAAACTGATGCTTAATAAAATCCCAAACTAATTGCTGAATGTAAGACCCCGTTCTAAAACCCTTTTAAATGCATTTTTTGCCGTTGCTCTTGCGTTAATAAAGTGCTGGACAACGGACAAAAAGTTTGCTTCCTGGCTAGACATAATTTTAGGGCTCTTTGCGCTTGTGTGGGATGCCACCCACACCTCCTGCTAAAATGAGCGGAAGAAGGTCCACTGGCAGCTGGTGGCGACCCTGGAAAACATTGTCCAGCACAACCAAAATGTAATTTGTCCAGCAAGAAACGGAAAATGCGACAAAAGGCGAAAACTTGTTGGTCTGTGTTGTCCACCAACAACATTCTGTGACTCGAGGTCATTTTTGTGCATAGTTCATTACGATTGAACTGCCGCAAAGGTTCCCTTTTCCACAAACATGTGGGAGGAAAAGGTAGCTCAAGCAGAAAGGGATGGGCATAGTGGGTAGAGAAAGAGAAAGACTCTGACAATGCGAAAACTTTCCATTTTAGCACACTTTTATTTTGACTATCTTGAAAATCACTTTTAATTGGGATGTCTGGATGCTCTTGCAAGCTCTTTGGAATAAAATGAAATTAGATTCATTTAATTTCGGAAATTTAATAATTAAGTAAGTAATTTGATTTATTTGTATAAGCTTTCGCGTTTTTGAGCAATTTTTTAAAATTTCAGCAATTCATATCCCTTTTAAATCACAAAGCACAAAAACTGTTTAATTTTACTTTTCAATTCAAATTGAGCCTCTTAAAAAAATCAATCTTAAATTAAAGAAAAAAATAAAATATTTGCTGACTTTCAGCCGATTTCTCAATGTAATGTTAAGTTTTGTTGTCGAGTTAAATTGCAGTTTCGAAAAAAACGTATTTTCTCAATATTAAAGTTTATATAACCGGAAACTCTAAACTACAGTAAATGTTCAAGTTAACATTAGTTGGTGGGAACAGCGAATAAGACAAAAAAATGTAAGCCTTCTTAAATATTTAAATTTTTGGTGTCACAAGAGACTTTATGGAGTTCATTCTTATTAGCAGTTCTTTATTTTGCATCCTGGCACTACAAGTCTAAAAATCATAGTATAATGTAGTAGTCATTACTGTATGCAAATCAAGTATGTTTTTGTCGAATATTCAAAACTTTTCGAAATAATTTTTTTAATTAATATTCAATTCAAACAATGGGAAAATGCATAATACAAAATATGCCAGATTGGTAAATTCCCTTAATATACGCTTTTAAATTTCTTATAAATAGCTAAAATTACTTTAATTGCACATACGTGTTGTTACATAATTTTTTTCACGGCTTAGCTTAAGCCACCAAGATAAATACATTTAAGTTTGCATATAAAAATATCGTTCTAGTTGCGATATTAACCAGTTCCACGAGTACCATTAATCCACTACGATGGGGAATTTGAAAGTCTGTCTTCTCCTGGGTCTTGTGATGTTTATTTCACCTATCGATTGTAAGATCGACTGTACTGTCAATGGAACCCAGAAAGAATGTCCTTATGCATGTCCTGAAACCTGCGAATATAATGGTGTCGGACCTTGTGTAAAGATCTGTGGAGGACCTTGTGTGTGTAAGCCAGGATATGTAATTAATCAAAGGATTCCAGCCTGTGTCCTGCGCTCTGATTGTCCAGCAGGAGTGGTTCAAAAAGAGGTGCAACATATGTTGAAAATTTGAAGTGCTTTGGTCTAGACAGACATTGCTAGTTACAATAATAACGGATATATATACTTAACGGATACATATTAATATATTATTTGGGATGTGGTTAACTTGTTTTTAAGCTGTGAAATAAATTAGTAGTAAATAAAACGATTTTGAACAATATTAGAAATTCCACAATTTTTACCTCTTTCACAGTATTGTGCAAAGTGAAAATGTCATACAGTTGCATCCTGTACCGGCCACTCCTCCTGTTTTCCCCCGTTCAATGGCCAGTATTCTTTGTCAACCTGATTAGTTTGCCTGCCAATTGAGGGGGTCGGTGGCTGCTGCTCCTGATGCTTCAGTGTTGGCCATTGTCCTGGGCCTTTAAACTTGGAAATGCTGGCTAAGGTCGACTTTCAATTTTTGGTTTACAAAATTTCTTAACAGTTCTTGTCACAACAGGCTTTATAGAGTTCATTATTATTATTAGTTCTTTATTTTGCATTCTAGTGGTAATGTGGTAGTCATATAAAGAAATGTCGTTCATGATAGGGGTTTTTATATACAACAAATTTTAGCTTGAAAACTCCAAACAAAATTATCATTCCTTGGAGAAATTGAATTTGGGTTTAAGAACAATTTGACTTCATGTTAACGTTCTCTAACAGATAACAACAATCTTAACATAAGTTGGTGAAATCTACCATAAAAAAAATCTAATCTAATTATGTGCGTGACTTAAATTAAATAAAAATTACGTACTGTTGCAAATTAAATATATTTTTGTTTAATACTCACAACGTATCGAAATAATTTTTTTTTTTAGGTTAATGTTAAGTTTGAGCATAACCCTTTAACTTATTTTAGAGAGGAAAACAGTTTGTCGCACGAATTAATTAATGGGAAAATATAAAAAATATGCCAGATTGGAAAATTCCCTTAATATACGCTTTTAAATTTCTGATAAATAGCTAAAATGACTTCAATTGCACATACGTGTTGTTATATAATATTTTCACGGCTTGGCTTAAGCCACCAAGCTAAATAAAGTTAGCAAATACATTTAAATTTGCATATAAAAATATCTTTCTAGTTGCGAAATTAACCAGTTCCACGAGTGCCTTTTATGCACTACGATGGGGAATTTGAAAGTCTTTCTTCTTTGGGGTCTTCTGATGTTTATTTCACCTATCGATTGTAAGATCGACTGTACTGTAAATGGAACCCAGAAAGAATGTCCTTATGCATGTCCTGAAACCTGCGAATATCGTGGTGACGGACCTTGTGTAAAGATCTGTGGAGGACCTTGTGTGTGTAAGCCAGGATATGTAATTAATCAAAAGATTCCAGCCTGTGTTCTGCACTCTGATTGTCCAGCAGGAGTAGTTCAAAAGTGGGGTAAATCATATGTTCGAAATTTTAAGTGCTTTGGTCGAGACAGATTTTGTGGCAAACAATAATATCGTATATATGTACTTAACGGATACATTTTAATAGCATATTTGGGATGTTAACCACAACTTGGTTTTAAGATGTGAAATAAATTGGTAGTAAATAAACCGATTTTGAACAATATTATAAATTGTACAATTTTTTGCACCTCTTTCACAGTCATTGCATTTTTCGCACGTATTGTGCATAGGGAAAATGTCATAAAGTTGCATCCTTTCCCGGCCACTCCTCCCGTTTTCCCCCGTCTTTCCGCCCCCAAGTCCAATGGCCAGAATTCTCCGTCAACCTGATTAGTTTGCCTGCCAATTGAGGTGAGTCGGTGGCTGCCTCTCCTGTTGCTTCTGTGTTGTCCATTGTCCTCGACGACTTTTTTTTGGGCCATAAACTTTAAACTTGGAAATGCTGGCTAAGGTCGACTGTGGCGATTCCACTTCCTGGCAGCCACACAATGCCCAGTCAATGCCCAGTACTCCCCCAATGTGGGGAGTTCCCCTTGGCTGTTGCTGGGACCATTTTGACCGTTAAATGTTGACATTTGTGCATTTCATTGTGTATGACCTTTTGGTCCACAACAGCAACAACAGCTGCGAAAATGGTACACAGAGAATAGAACTTCTTAGAATTGAAAACATTTTCCTCATCAGCTAATAACAGAGTCGCGAAATTTTCAAAGAAAATTTTACTGGAATTTAATATTATAAAAGATTATTTTTTGTTTTTGAGAAGTAAAAATCAAACTGGAAAAAAGGTTATTTTAAAATAAACTTGTAAATGTTAATCATTTAATTGTTCTTTATCTAATTGAAAATGAATAAATGAAAATGAAGATATATGACAACATAAAACAGTTGTGAGGTCATAGAAATAACTAAATAAATATAGAGTCTATGACTTTTTGATAAAATCCCATGGATTATTAACACTTTGATCAAATTTTCTGACATGTAGGCTAGTTTTGATCTCAAGGGTATCAGTTTTTCTCAGTGTACGAGCAGTAGCTCGGCTGAAGCAGCCGAAGAAGACGCAGAAGGAGCACAATGTGGAGCAGAGGTCTGAAAAGGATGCTTCTGCCCCACTATTGTCGTCGCTTGTCTACTCATAAACTAAATGTAAATTCCACCCCTCGGTGCCAACGTGCCACCACTTTTATTGCAGTGTTTCGCTGTCACCACGGCGGAGATATGTCGCCCCTTAACCCACCAGTGCCCCCGAACTATATCCATATCCTTGGCTCCGTGTGTGGCTGTTCGCATTGTTCTCGTTGTTTTTGTCAACAGGCTGCAGTGCAGCAGTGGAAACAGCGGGAACCACTCGCCTCCTTCGACTTCATTGTCCTCCGTCCGTCTGTCCCAATGTCCGTCTGTCCCAAAGTCTGACTGTCTGGTGCGGATGCAGTGGCCATGATATTTGAATTTATAAATCTATAAAACTCCAGAGCGGCGGGGAGTGCGATGTATGTGTGTGGGGCTGAATTAGAAGGAAATGAGAATTCGTTTTGTTCAAATAGAACTGGTTCAAAGTGAGGACACCCCAGAGGACTGTTAACACTTAAAGCGGAAAAAAGAGTTTCAATCAGTCAGCCAGTTTAGAAGCGGAAAAACAAGGGGAAGGGTGAAATGGTGGTAGGAAATTATATACAAAAGTCTAATTAACCTGGGTGAGACTAATACAATTGGTTTCACACTGTAAAAGTGAATTACCAGTGTGCAAGTCCTACATCATTGCAATGATTGCATTGGGAATTTAAATGTATCTAAAAGCATTAAACATTTTTCTTATTATACCCGTTACTCGTAGAGTAAAAGGGTATATTGTATTTGTGCAAAAGTATGTAACAGGTAGAAGGTAGCGTTTCCGACCCTATAAAGTATATATATTCTTGTTCAGGATCACTAGCCGGGTCGATCTAGCCATATCCGTCTGTCCGTCTGTCTGTCCGTATGAACGCTGAGATCTCGGAAACTATAAAAGCTAGAAGATTGGCATTTTGCATGTAGATTTTAGGAGTTCCTACGCAGCGCAAGTTTGTTTCAAAATGGTGCCACGCCCCCTCTGACGCCCACAAGCCACAAGCTGTGGCCACAGTTTTGATGATATTATGAAAATTTTAATTGATATGTATTTGTTTCGTCAATAAATATCGATTGGCCTAATAAAAGTTTGCCACACCCACTCTAACGCCCAAAAACCCATTAAACGCTTAAGCCTGGCTAGCGCCCACATTTTCGCCTTTCATGGCCCGTGGTAGCGCCATCTAACGGATGACTTTGGAACAGCTGGCCAAGGTGCTCAACAGAGTCAACGTTAATTCTCGATAAGGATTTTTATTAAAGGAAATGGCGATGGTTTTCATTTGTCAATACCGAACTATATCCCAAGAACTATGCAAATCAAATCTTGTTAGCCAAATTAGAGGTCTGAGTCAGACAATGGCGTATGTGTGTATGTATGTAAGCATATACATATGTATGTATTTACATTGTACACAGTTGCAATTGCCCGGCAAAGATAACTCCTTTCAAAGAAAGCTATTCGCTATACCCGTTACTCGTGTTGTGCAAACATTTAGACTTTAATATACATAATACTATTTAAGAATGTATGTGTTTAGCCAATATAAGTATGTATGTTTAATATTTCTAGTTAATTTATTGCACTCAAAAACATAAATATAAACACAGCTGCTGGTGCAGGACAAAAGCTGGCTGCGCTAAAGCAGCAGCGCTGGTGCTGATGCTCGTGCTTTAAAGCTGCCAGCACTAAGAGATCGCCGAATTCAAATTGATAATTTGAACTTTTTGTCCTTTTTTCCTGTGGTCACTATAATTCACATTATGTTAAAAAAAAAAAAAAACAAAAAAAAACACAAGAAGGCATATTTATATTAAGTTGTTTAGCTGAGTAACGGGTATCTAATAGTCAAGGCACTCGACAATAGCGTTCTCTCTTGTTTTTACATGTATTTAACTATGTTTATGTTTCGGTATAAAACTTACTAACACAAGTTGACAATCAAATACATGTATACACCGAAAGCATGGTTTTAAATTAAGAAGTCATTATTAAAGCGTACGTTTCACATATCCTGTATGTTAACACATTTATGCAACATTGCTTAGTTAAAATGAGTTTGTTGTTATTTGTCAACTTAGCTGTATCAATAAATCCATAAGTCATACCATAAACATATTCTATTCTCCTGCATCATGTCATTGCGTCCTATTACCATACATATATTTATCCGTATCACTCCAAGGGATTTCCCGCTGCAGTCATTGTCTGTCCACCAACTACTTTACAGCTGTCAGATTACGAATGGGTTGGGAATAAATAGGGCTTTTGGGGGGAAGCAAGGACTTTGCTCCCCTCAAAGTCTCTGGGCCCGCAACCCTTGAGCCTTGTCTATTCACTTTCTAATGGGCCACGTTGACGTTTTTAGACTGCCACAATATATGTGTTTGCTTGAGAGTTTGTATGGTGCATATGTCTAAGCTCTAAGCTCCCCTCACCCCTTGGTCACCCCTTCTCAATTGTCATCATGCAATTGTGGAAGTGCAGAAGTGAAGTCCTTCAACCCTTCCCCACTTGTGTGTATAAAAGTCTGAAAAGCCAACTTGTTACATATATATTTGTATCTACAGCACATATTCCACTTTCTTACCCCTTCAACAGTGTTAAAAAAATTCTTTAAACCGCTAAAAATTATCTCCCTAACTCTATTTTAAAACCCCTT